TTCTATCGATCAGAAAAGATCAATAATGTTCATGATTTAACCGTGCACAAATCAATAATAGGTTTGTTCCGATGCGTTAGTTCACTAGCTGCAACATAAATCCTATTAGAGTGCATTGTATGAATATTAACGCTTATTGTTCTCAAAACAAAAGAAGCGCTCCTAGCAAATTCCGTTTTTCTATCCGTAGGATGAAGAAAATCGAATGGCGTTTCAATGCGTTAGGATGGAATTGAAACTCATAGGACGAATTTAGAATCAAGAAGCAGTATTAGATTTTATACAATGACTCAACAATTTGTGACTCTTTATCAAATCCAACGGTACTTATGGAATGGTGAATAAATTTAGAAGTCATCTTTGATAGGAATATTCAACTTTTTGTTCAAACCCGTTCAAAAAAGAGATGTAAAGCGCGGGTTGTGCTTAGTAGGACGGAAATTAGATCAAAAACCCTACTTTGCTGGATTTTATTATATTCAGGGTTCCAACTTCTCACTCATTTTCGTGAGGATTAAATCCTCACTTGTCATCTTTTTCTCTGAAAATAAACTTTTCAACTTTTCCCTCACTGAATCCTCACTGAAAAAAATATTTTCTCTCACTCTTGTATGTTGAGAAAAATCATTGGAAATCGATGACTTTTATTTCTCGCTCATAGCATCGATTCTCCACACGCAAAAAGCTTCATTCTCTTTCACACTGACTTAGCGGAAGGCTCTATCAAGTTCATGGTGTTGTTTCATCGTTTGATATTTTTGTGCATTTGTGGTTTTTACTGATGGAAATTGATGGCAAAATTAAAAAAAAAACGTCGGAGCGTTCAGGAGTTTGTTAATACCGTAACTAAAAAGTTAACTTGCAGTGAATACCGTTGTACAGTTGTTGATGGTTGTTGTTACACACAGACAACGTACAATGTTGGAAAGTTTAAATACCATATTTAAAAACTCCACACGAGAGAATTTCAGATACTGGAACTCGGAACCGGCCAAGCTAATCCTCACTCGGAACGTCAGGATCCAAAGATTCCTGTGCGAATGACCAGGCAACGCTTATATGGTGGTGTAATCAAGTGTGTTTTAGTACATGGGCTCCAATTTTCGTTTATTCATTTCGAAGGAATAAGAGATCTTATTCAACCCTACTGTGATCAGCGTTGTCAGATTGTTTAAAGCTTATCGGTATCGAAGGTATTAAAAAATCGGTATTTATCGGATTTTCTATTTATTTAATTTTATATTTTGCCGTTTTTGAAAGCGAAAATTTTAACGATGGTGACGACTGGAATTTGAGGGGAATTGCTTTGTTTGACGGCTTTCTCAGTCCTAAAATACTCCTTAATTTTTTAATTTTATTTTAAAACTATCGTTGTCCTCAAGTGGTGATCAAAATTGTAACCAAGCAGCGTTTTTTTTCCAATTAAATATCATTCAATGAAACCAAAATAAGAAAAATCAGCCAAAACAACGACAAACAATATTTTCCCTTGAAAAAAGGCACAACCCATGGCCGAAATGTCCGGCAAATTACATCGTTGCAGTGTTTTAAGACTAAGAAAGCCGTTAATCAAAGCAACATCTTTGAACTATGATCGGAAAATTCCGGAAGAAACTCCGGGGAATGTTTGAATTAGTTTCTGAATGGAGCTGAAAAAACATCCAGAGAAAGACGAAAGAAGCTCTCCTGAATAAAGTTCGATAAAACCTGGAAAATCATCCGGGAAACTTCCTTAAATGAACTATCGGAAAAAAATCGGATGTCACATCCAAAGGAAGCCCGAAAAGTTTCGGAAGCTGGAAGTAAATTTCCGGAAGTAGCCATTTCTTTTAAAAGCCAGTTAAAGCTCGGAAAAACCTTCCAATAGAAGTCGATCAAAAATACCTTTCACTTATGGTCAAACTTCCAGGAGAAGACGAATGAAATTTCTGGGAGAATTAATTGAACTTCCTGGAGAAGACGAAAGAAACTTCCTGGAGACGCTGACATAAACTTCTTAAGGTTGACTGGAAGAAACATCTGAAGAAAGTCGTAAATATTTACATTGCTTGTACCAAAGAATTGTGGGGTATTGACATTATTTCCCAGGTTTTCTGTAACCAGATGCCGTCATCTTGAATTTCAAAATGGCGTCAGACATAGATTTACAATTCCTACATGTCACTCTGATTCCAAAAATACCCATATTGTGGGGTATTGACAGTATTTTCCAGATTTTCATGAACCGGATACCACCATCTTGAATTTCAAAATGGCGTCACACATCGATTTCCGGTCCCTACACGTCCCTCCGATTCCAAAAATACCAATATTGTGAGGTATTTGACAATATTTTCAAAAACCTCTTTTTACGAAGTAAATCCCAAATAACGAGTTTTTTTTACGCAATAATTCGATTTACGAACCGAATGGTATCGTAATGTGATCAAACCGTTGCTGCGGAAGAAGAATAGACTATTTTTTTTTTCAAAAAGTCTTATGTGAAAATCAATTTGAACCGTATTTCAAAATCAAATCAATTATCAAAAAACCGAATTCAATTAGCTTTGATTTATGATTGAATATTGTTTGTGTAGCGAATGAAATTTTACAATTTTTCTAACGTATGTAACTTGATTTACTTGAAATTTTAATTAATGAACTGAACATCGGACTTCTTTCAAAAGTATGCTAGATATTTTGAGGACTTGTTTGTAGCTCAATGTCATATATACTAGGTCCATCAGCCAGAATTTGCCGTCTCTTTTACTCGGCCGTTCTTTACATGTAACAAGGAACGACGTCACGTTCCTTGTTATATTTGAACATCTGCAGAGTGAAAGAGACCGGAAATTGTGTCTGATGAACCAAGTATGAATGAAAAACTCTGCTCGCTCACGAGCAGTTGTACAAGTGAGAGTGAATGCCCTCTCCAGAATGAATAAAAATGAGAAACGAGAACGAAAACGATTGTGAGAAAAGGTTGGTAGGAAATTCACCACCCGTGCTTCTCAGCGATTATCGTTTCTCATGACGAATGAAAAAAAAGGTTATTTTCTTTTTGCGAAAACGAAAAGTTGGATCCCTGATTATATTGTAGAATATCACCTTGTGCTTTTATAGAAGTTTACATAAATTAGTACTAGACTGGTGCGGCATGTCAGGTCCTTGCAATCGGATCAGCCTGTTTCAGTTTTTGAAAACGAATTTCATCGAACATCATTCCTAATCTTGATTGACAACTCACTAGGTAAGCCGCCTTCAATCTGCTCGATCCCCCTTGTTCGCTGCGTACATCTTCGTCTTGTTCCAGTCGGGTCGCTACCAGGAACCAGTTTCATTGGGTCGTTATTCGGCATTGTTACGATGTGCTCAGCCCTTCGTAGTCGCCCGATCTTCGCATTCCATCTAAATTTCTTAACTTACAAACCAGCTGCAATGCTACTTATTAATTCAAATATTTTCTACAGTGATTCAACAATTTCCGAGCTAAATCCAATCTTTTCAAAATTGGTTTAAAATTTTTAGAAGTGAGACCAAATCAGAAACGATTTAGGAAATTCCTAATTGAGGTGACATTTTTCAAAGCAGATTCAAAACTGAGGCTGACCTTTTTTGAAGTGAGTTCAAACTTTCGAATAAGTCATCAACATTTTTATAACTGAGTCTAAACATTTCTGTTATGTTATTCAATTCTTTTTAAAGTTGTCAAATGTTTCCTGAAGTGATTCAACATATCCCGAACCCAAGCTTTAAAGACTTGGTTTCACATTTTCTGGAGTGAAGCCACATTAGCGGATTTAATCCCTTTTCCTAAATGAATTCAATGTTTCCTGCATTCCCGAGCAGAAACCGATAGCTAACCGATAACATTTGAATATCTTAATGTGGTATGATACATTGTTTTGGTATGTTCATTTACATTTTTACAGTTTTGAGGTATTATTTTTGGTATTTTACCTCTTAAGTCAGCCTCGTCAATACCATATTTAGGATGCCAGTTATGCTGTTTTCTTAACCAAATTTGGTATCCATAAGTTATTTTCTCCTGCTCGGGTTGATTCAACTTTTTCCGAACTGAATCCAAACTTGTTAGAACGGGTTTGACATTTTCCTAAGTGAGCCTCATATTTGTGTTAACTGCTTGGTATTTGGCAAGGACACAATCTTGTTGAGGTCATCTAGCTTTCCAAAAAGTGTAGGAAGTTTTCCGAAGCGCGACACCTTTTTGAGCTAAAATTTTCCAAATGGAGTTCATCCTTTTCTGAAGTGGTTCAATACTTTCCTTAAGGAGTTCAAACTTTTCTGTTGAGTGATTGAATTATATTTAATGTTAGTCTGAGCTTTCCTCCCCTAGACCCCTCCCTCGTTCTTGTAAGATTCACATCCTTTGAAAATTAGGCTAAGATTTTAAAGAATGGACCTTTGTGTGTTCATACCTAATGGCAGATTTGTTTAAGCAAGCACAATTGTTGAGAAAACTGGGTTTACATCGACAAAAGAAGGTTTTTTTTTTATAGAAATGTGGGTTTCTTGATCAGCCAAGTAGGATTTAGGCTCCGTCCGTTTGAAAATCAGGCTTGGATTTCGTAGAATAGACCTTATAATTCTTATGCGGTTTTGACATTAACATTTCTAACTGATTTTGATGAATTTAAGCAAATAACCTTATGTAATCGGCAGATTGAATATATTTTTAATATTTCCTCGGTACAAGTATCAACAATAGCGATAAATGAGCTATTAATAACGATGATCACAACACTGTCATGTTCTGTCATGACAAAAAAAAAATCGATGAGATTTTGAAGAAAATCTCTATCATCGTTTTCTCATCCGACGATAGTGACAGAAGTATCTCTGTAAATATCGCGTGAGACCTTTCATTGAAAATTGACATTTTCTAGCCAGGTTGGATTGCGGTTCTATCGTTTGAAGTTTGTGTTTTTGATTTTATAGACAACTAGCCAAATTCCTTGGTATTGATTATTGATCATCTCAATTCCTCTTTCTCCGTTCAGCAATCCGTGTTCCATACCGACGCTTGGACCAAACCGGTCGGTCAGACCAAGTACTATCTGCATCAGTTCGACAAGGGTCAACCGGATTTGAACTACGAAAATCCCAAGGTCAAGGACGAGATGAAGACAATGATCGAATTCTGGTTCGAAAAGGGAGTGGACGGATTCCGAATTGATGCCATCAACCATGCCTACGAAGACGAACGATTCCTGGATGAACCAATTATCGATACAAACAAGGGGCTGTTCTACGAAAATATGGAACACAAGTACACTATGAATCAGGTATGCGGGTAAATTATCTTGCCACAGATTTCAAGAATCTAATCTATGCTCTTACTAACCCTAGAACAAATCATACGACTTGATTTATGATTGGCGTGAGGTGTTTGATCAATGGTCCACCAAGACGAATAAGACCAAACTGATGATGACGGAAGCCTATGCCGATCTGGAGCATACCATGCGTTGGTATGGTGACGGCAAACGTAACGGTTCGCACTTCCCGTTCAACTTTGCCATGATCAATGGACTGTCCAGCAGTTCCAACGCTGCTGATTTAAAATCGGTCGTCGATCAGTGGCTGGAAAACATGCCAAAGGGAGCGCAGGCCAACTGGGTTTTGGGAAATCATGACCGTCCGCGTATTGCATCTCGCTTTGGTCCAGAACGTGCTGCCAGTTTTGCCATAATGGAGTTGACTCTACCGGGAATTGCTGTGGTCTACTATGGAGAGGAAATCGGTATGGAGGACTTCCGGGATATCTCCTTCGAGGACACACAGGATCCTCAGGCTGCCAATACCAACAAAGAGATATATCAGCTGTACACACGTGACCCGGTGCGGACACCATTCCAATGGGATGCTACGGCATATGCTGGTTTCACAGCTGCCACTACCCCGAAGACCTGGCTGCCGGTTCATCCCAACTACAAGGACCTGAACTTGGCTGCCCAGAAGGCAGCACCGAAGAGCATCTTCAAGTTGTACAAGCATTTGATTCAGCTACGTAAGGATCACACCTTCATGTACGGTGACTTTGAATCGAAGGCCCTGATCAACAACGTGTTGGGTTACACGAGAAAGTTGGCCGATCACAAATCGTACGCCGTTGTGATGAATATGAATTCGGCCGAGGTTCAGTTGAACATGAAACACTTGGACGGTGAGGCAGAGAAGCTGAAGGTTGTGGCCAGTACGCCGGAGTCGAAGTTTGAAGTCGACCAGGAAGTGACCGACGTGCAGAACATGACATTAGAGAGCTACGATGCGGTGGTGTTTGAGATCATCACGGCTGGCAGTGCTGCCATCACCGGTTCGTTGATGTTGATTTTGGCGTCTGTGTTGAGATGTTTGTTCCAATAGTGATTTAGTTCGGAGATTAATTTATTTATTGTTTGGTCGAAGTGAGTTAATACTAATGAAATTGAAAATTATGAAATAAAAAAACGAAATAAAAACTGTAATACCGTATTTTTATGGGAAAATATATGTTCTTTCGAATAAGAGACTCAGATAAGAAGACAGCACCGCCGCTCACCAAACCATTTTTTAAGGCTCCTTTATTGATGAATCCAAAGATTTTTGCATTGCAGAAACTTTCTCAACCCTCAAGATTTTTTCATCACAATCCTTATTCATATTGAAGCATATAGAAAGTAGGTAGAAAGTATTCTAAATAATGGGTGAACGTTTTATTTTCAAATAGGTCATTACATGAAATGTCACTAAGCAGTACGCTATTGAAGCAAATGTGGCTAGGTCACAGGGATCTCTTAGGCAAAATTCTAGTAATCATCCATAGTTAGTCATACAGCCTATTTTTTTTCTTTTTTCCTTGATTTGTTTTCCGTCGATCTTGTTTTCCGTGCTGAGCACCAATGCTACCGACGCCAAAGAGGTAGTTCCCACGCCTGGACGCTACCTATCGATCCATCAACTCATGAACCGGGGACTAACGGCTTTACTTGCCTGATAGAAATGTTATACCTCAGAACATCCCGGTGGCACCGACTGGGATTGAACCCAGGGTGAGAAGTAATCACGCATACCACTACAGCACCAGCTGGGTACAATTCCAGTTGGCACCGCCAGGATTTTCTGAGGCATAAAATCTCTGATCAGGCTTTCCTTCGATCAAGATTGACGGAAAACAAATCAACGAAAAAAAATGAAAGAAGCCAACATATCGTTAATGCATATGTTTTATACGGGGATGAATCACGGGCGTAAATTTCGGGTTTGTACTTAACTGATACGGCGCGGTTACAAAAAAAAAAACCAATTTATTCACTTTTAAAACTAATTTCTTTATTTCACTATCGAATAATTTTTCTAGCTATGGGTGATGGTGACCGGTCCGCTCATGTGGCAATTTTGGAAGAAGGAAAACTGATAGAGTGATAACGGAACAAATGAAACGAGCTACACAATAGCGAGAGAATAACAACTGTTGGAGTGCGTTTTCATTCTAATCAATGCACTGCGTTGCTGACGCCAAAGGATGCATTGCAGATGGATTCCAATTTGAATTTAAATTGTTTAGCTTCAAAGTGATCTAAACCTAACAGCATAATTTAATCCACGATGTTGGGAGTTTAGTTTTGGAAGCAGTCCAAGAGTATTACACATTTTTCGATGTCCATGTTCTTGAAAATTTGCCTGATTTAATTATAATGTGATTGTTCATTGAAAGTTTCAGAGAAGCAGGATCCTTTTTTTATTTGAAATCTCAAACAAATTTTGAAATTCGGCATCTTGAGCATTTCTGTTCGTCTTCGAATCTAGAAAAGGTCTTTTTTCCGGTGTATTTTTTTTTAATTTAGGGTTTATCTAGGGTTTTAGTCTCAGAACAGAGAGGCATTCTTCTTAGTAACGTTGGATCTGTTCAGTAGATGGGTGCAGTTTTTTTTTCCTCTGTTCGGGACCTAACACCACTGCGACCAGTTATTTGATCTATTGTAGTATATCCCGTGTCCTTAGTTTTGTGCATGTCGTATTACCAAATCACTATTGAGAAATGATGAAGTATTCGATTTTTTTTACAGTTGCTATTCTTGTATTGATCGCAAGGATCCAAGGTCCCGCTATTCATACCACTTGGAGTGTTGAAACACCCTGCAAAGGCACGCCCCTTTGTCAGTCAAAATTGGATTCCTTAGCAACAAAATTAAGGAATGACACCGATAATGACCATGCATCAGAACCCTAGTCTTAACCACTTCAAACTAGAGAACAACGAATAGAAGATTAGGAACCACATAGATGAAGACAAACTAACTCATTTTTTCCTTGTTTCAAGATCATCCTCGGTGGACAAAGCCGAATCTTATTACTATAAACAAGGCATAAAAAGTAACAAGGACTAAGATGTGTTCCTTTGATTACTGAAAAATCCTGTTCCCCTAGTTTGAAGTAGTTGGAACTAGGAATCGGTGGTAGATCTTACATCCCGTAACGTACCACAAAAAGGTGATCTACCCACGTTACGGGGTGCAGTTACATGCCCTTCCAAACATTTCAGCTAAAATTATGTGTACCGAACTGGTAATAGAAGTAGTCATTAACTCGACCACACATTCCTCTACTGAATACAGCCCGTTCCGGGTTGTCAAGAGTGATGATATTATACTCAGGAACGGATCATTTCCGTTTTGAAAACGAGGAAGAATCGTTCTTAAAAGAACGAGCTGTCTTGATCAAGACATAAAACCCTGCATTTTATGCTCAGAATAGTTTGCTAAAAGCACACTAGGTCGCCGCACAAACATATAATATTCGATTCTGAAAATCCACCAATACGTTCGAGATAGGTATGACAGTGTATAAGAAAAACACCAAGCTATCGAGCGCAAATGAGTTTTTTAACGCTATGCTCAGTGCACAATACCTGCCATAGACAAAAAGCGTAACATTTTAAACGGGCCTATCAACTTTTGCACACAATTTTTTCCCTTTCGGATAGTGCGCTTGGTTTGCGTGGGCGTACTGAGCTTCTCGTGAAAAGGACCAAGGAAGTTGTTAACAAAAGTTGATAGGCCCCTTTGCAAATGTTACGATAGCATGATTCATGTGTTCATTTTTAGTAAACAGGGCCCCGCTGTTGTGTCAATTTTTTTTTCAGTAGCTGAACAAAAGTTCACCCTTGCACTCGTCTATGTACGGTGGTCGCAAAACACGGTTGGAAGTGACTTGAGTTTAGCTTGCTTCCACTTTCATCAGTGCCCTCATCTCCATTGCTTCTTCCAATAAGGTTTTGCACCGTTGGAGTTAACCTCAATCGGATAACAGATCTGTGGTGCTGTTTACGTGGACTTTGTCAATTTTTCTTGCGTAAGATTTTCTTGATAATTTTTCAGACTGCAGTAAGATGAAACCCCACTTTTACAATGTCCCCAAGAAACATCCTTTCCTCGTGCATTTCCTTGGTATTTTTTCAAATTAAAATTTGGAATTTTTCAAATAAATTTTTCGAAAAAAATTCTAAGTGCATGTAAACAGTACCACTGAACTGTCAAAAAGTTCATCAGATGAACATTGAGTTCATTTGTGACGCTGCAGTACCTAATTGTTTTTCTTTCAGAATCGACAGAAATCACTCTGAACCCGACCAATGTTCTTCATGTTATATCTACTAGGACAATGCCCAGTTACTAGGCCAATTTTTATACTAAGAGTTCTTTTATTGAGCTCTAAGAGCTACTTCCTACTTCCTCCACTGCCCCGAAAGTATCCCCGCGATGTTGAAGAGTAGGCATGAGAGTCCGTCACCTTGTCGCAGTTCCCGGCGAGATTCGAATGAACTGAATAGTTCACCCGAAACCCTTACGCAGTTTTGCACACCGTCCATCGTTGCTTTGAGCTGCCTGATCAGCTTCCCAGGAAAGCCGTTCTCGTCCATGATTTTCCATAGCTCTGTGCGGTCGATACTGTCGTATGCCACCTTGAAGTCGATGAACAATTGATGCATTGGGACCTGGTATTCACGGCATTTCTGGAGGATTTGCCGTACGGTGAAGGTCTGGTCCGTTGTCGCTCGGCCGTCAATGAAGCCGGCTTGATAACTTCCCACGAACTCGGTCATTTTAGGTGATAGACGACGGAAGATGATCTGGGATAGCATTTTGTAGGCGGTATTCAAAATGGTGATCGCTCTGAAGTTCTCAAATTCCAAATGGTCGCCTTTCTTGTGAATGGGGCAGATTAACCCCTCCTTCCACTCCTCCGGTAGCTGTTCTGTTTCCCAGATCCTGACCATCATCCGGTGCAGGCAGATTGCCAACTTTTCTGGGCCCATCTTGATGAGTTCGGCTGCGATTCCATCCTTTTTTTTCCTTTGTTCGGGACCTAACACTACTGCGACCAGTAAATTGATCTATTGTAGTATATCCCGTGTCCTTAGTTTAGTGCATGTCGTATTACTCCATCACTATTGAAAAATGATGAAGTATTCGATTTTTTTACAGTTGCCACTCTTGCATTTATTGCAAGGATCCGACTCTAATTGAAAGGTCCCGCTATTTATACCCTTCGGAGTGTTGAAACACCCTCCAAAGGCGCGCCCCTTTGTCAGTCAAAATTGGATTCCTTAGCAACAAAATTAAGGTATGACACCGATAATGACCATGCATCAGAACCCTAGTCTTAACCACTTCAAACTAGGGAACAACGAAGAGAAGATTAGGAATCACATAGATGAAGACAACTAGCTCATTTTTTTGCCTTGTTTCAAGATCATCCTCGGTAGACAAAGCCGAGTTTTGTCACTATCAACAAGGCATAAAAAGTAACAAGGACTAAGATGTGTTCCTTGGATTACTGAAAAATCCTGTTCCCCTAGTTTGAAGTAGTCAGGACTAGGAATCGGTGGTAGATCTTACATCCCGTAACGTACCACGAAAAGGTGATCTACCCACGTTACGGGGCGATCCTTACGAGCTGCTTTGTTGTTTTTGAGCTGATGCCATTCAGATCCTTAACTTCCCTCAGCGTTTCCTCCATTGCGCTGGTCTCCCGTGCCTACGTTCTGCTCGCCATTCAGGTGCGCATTGAAGTGCTGCTTCCACCTTTCAATAACCTCACGTCCGTCCGTCAAGAGGCTCCCGTCCTTATCCTTGCACATTTCGGCTCGCGGCACGAAGCCGTTGCGGGATCCGTTAAGCTTCTGGTAGAACTTCCGTGTTTCTTGGGAACGGCACAGCAGTTCCATTTGCACTCCTCGTCTAACCATTCATTCCGTCGACTTCTTTCCACGTACCCGATGGTGCTCTCGGCTGCGTCGGTGATGGCTGCTTTTACTGTACTCCAGCAGTCCTCTAGATGGGGCACATCGAGGTCGCTCTCCTCTGGCAACGCTGCCTCGAGATTCTGCGCGTATGCCAAGGCGACATCCGGTTGCTTCAGTCGCTCTAGGTTGTACCGTGGCGGGCCTTGGTACCGTTCATTGTTGATGACGGAAAGTTTTGGGCGCAGTTTGACCATCACCAGGTAGTGGTCAGAGTCGATGTTAGAGCCACGATAGGTCCTGACGTCGATAATGTCGGAGAAGTGCCGTTCATCAATCAGAACGTGATCGATTTGCGATTCCGTCTGCTGTGGTGATCTCCAGGTGTAACGATAGGGGAGGCTGTGTTGGAAGAACTTGCTACGTATGGCCATGTTCTTGGAGGCGGCGTAATCGATGAGTCGTAGGCCGTTCCCGTTCGTCAGCTAGTGGGCGCTGAACTTTCCAATCGTCGGTCTGAATTCCTCCTCCTGGTTTGGGCAGCGATCGTACTCGCGATCGAGCTGCGCGTAAATTGCGTCCTTGTCATCATCAGTGCTTTCGGAGTGAGGGCTGTGCACGTTGATTATGCTAAAATGAAAAATCGGCCCTTGATCCTCAACCTGCACATTCTTTCGTCGATCGGCCACTAACCGATCACGTGCTTCTGCATTTCGCCCATCACGATGAAAGCTGTGCCCAGCTCGCGTGTGTTGCCACAACTCTGGTAGATGGTATGATTACCTCTAAACGTTCGCACCATGGATCCTGTCCAACACACCTCCTGCAGCGCTACGATGCCGAATCCGCGGTCCTTCAGTAGATTGGCGAGTATTCGGGTGCTCCCGATGAAATTGAGAGATCGACAGTTCCACGTGCCGAGTCGTATTTCGTCGCTGGGGTCGTTGCCGTTGGTCTCGGTTCGTAGTCCTCTGTTGCTGATTTTCCGTTGCAATGCTTTTTTACGGCTGGCTCGCAGGGCCTGACACCAACCCCCTAACTTTCCGGAGGACCAGGGTGCACAGTTGTGCTTAGAGTCCTTCACTGGCACTCGGACGTAGATCAGCCGCCCCTAACAAGGGGAACAGACGCTGTTGTGAGCCGCTCCTCTTGGAGAACAGACGCTCAGGCAAACCCCCCTTTCCTGTCAGTCTATGACCAAAGTTCCCACCAGGGTTGGTTACCCGATCTTCCCTAAGGTTGCTCACAGTTCCCGACCGGTACCACGGGGAGGTAGGGATAAGGAAGAGGCTAGTGATCTCAATGGGATCTGTATTGAGCATTACCCAGCATTAACCGACCTGGATTAATACTAAGGCCCTCTTTAATGCACCAAAACTGGGTAGACTTTAAGACCTCTTGCATTCATTCAGAAATGATAACGTCAAACTTTCCTCTCACTATAATGACTATGTAATCCGCAAAGCCCACAACTTCGAACCTTTTTGCTTCCAGGCTTCTTAGAAGATCATCTTCAACTAAAGACCACAGCAGTGCCAGTGGTGAGAGAACTCCTCCTTGAGGACAACCTTTTGTTGCCTTTACTGTTATAGATGAGCTACCCAGCCCAGAAGTGATTTCTCTTTTTGCAAGCATAATCTGTATCCAGTTGACGATGCGCCTATCGAAGTTCTTTGCCTTCATGGCGTAAACCATAGACGAATAGGATGCATTATCAAAAGCTCCTTGAATATCCAAGAAAGAGCAAAGTGCAATTTCTTTAACTGAAAGAGATTTTTCAATTTTTGTTACTAAGGTATGGAGAGCAGTAACTGTTGACTTTCCGGATTGATACGCAAACTGAAAATTAAATAATGGATGCGTGAACATGTAAGTTGAATTGATGAAATCATTCATCACCTTTTCCATAGTCTTTAACAAAATTGATGAAAGACTGATGGGCCTGAATGATTTTGAATGAGTTTTGTCGTGCCTCCCATTTTTGGTATGAATATAACTGTTACCAACCTCCATTTTGATGAAATATAATTTATCCTTATACTTGCCTTAAAAATCTTAGTTAGAGCCGGAATCAGCACTGATTCACCATTTTGAAGTAGCGTCGGAAATATTTCGTACACACCTGCAGATTTGAAGGGTTTAAAAGATCTCACCGCATTTTCTACTCTGGCCTCAGTGAAGATGTCATCGTCTATATCTGGTGTGGTGATTCCTGTTCTTTGAGACTCCGAAGAGGTATCCAAGAGGACATCTTTCATCAACAAAATCAGAGTTACCCGATTCCTCACACAAGACTGATCCTGGAAAATTTGTTTCCATCATTAGATCTAAAGTTTCAGAAGGAGATTTGGTGAAACCTCCATCAAGAGATTTCAGATTACCGAGTTCTGTCGTATGATCACTCGAAAGAGCTTTTTGTAACCTTGTCACTTCCGGAATACTGTTTATGCTTTCACACATTCGAATCCAAGACCGCCTCTTAGATTTCCTTATTTCATTATTATATTCAGATAGAGATTTCTTGTACTGTGTCCAATCAGAAGTGATTTTCGCCTTATTGATAATCTTACGAGAAGTTTTCCGAAGGCGTTCCAAATTCGAATTCTACCACAGTACATCCCTGCTAGAGGAGGACCACTTGATAGGACAACTACTGTTGAAAGAACTGATAATACCTTCGTTTACCTTTTGGGAAAATGATTCCAACTGCTGAATCGATTCAATTTTAATATCATTTGTAAATATGTAAGAATTCAAGATCAATGTTTGTTTTCCTAGGATTCCTAAATACAAATCACCTCCCCCCCATTCAAACATAATATGGGGCCTCATAGCCTAGTCAGTAAAGGCACGGTTTTACCAGGTCGGATGCGGCGGGTTCGATTCCCGGTCCAGTCGAGGGTATCTTTCGGGTTGGAAATTTTCTCGACTTCCCTGGGCATAGAGTATCATTGTGGTTGCCTCAGAATATACAAATTCATGCATTGGTAATAGGCATCGAAAGCTCTCAATTAATAACTGTGGAAGTGCATTTAGAACACTAAGTTAAGAGCACGCAATAAGCTAATATGCACTAAGCAATAAGCTTGAAACACGAATAAGAAGAAAGAAGAATGTTTATGATCAGACAAAGAGATTTCATCGGACACATGCCAATTCCGATTTTTTTTCCGAAATTGAAGGAATGCATAATGTCAAATCTAAAACTTCCTGTCCAATGACATTTGAAAAAGTAGGTTCATTTCCTTTGGTGCATAAATCTATATTGTAAGAAGCGAAGTTCTCCGTATAGTCCACTATCCCAAATTCTAATACGCATCAATTTTGAGCGCTTGGAATCAGGCGGCTGCTGTTTCTCAGCAGCACTTGCTTCCACTCCACTGTTCTTTCCGGCATCCAGGAACGTCAAATACATCATCACCACCTCTTCTTTCAGGACCTCAACCGCTTCCTCGTTCGGCCATGCACCTTCAGTCACTACACCAGCGTACGTGCTGGTCTCTTCCACATTCCGTTGTTGGTTTTCTTCTTCCGTACGTTGTTGTACTGGCTGCTTGCAATCCTTGCGCTTAGGGCAGGAACAGTGCTGCGTTCTGTCAACAATGTCAATTGACGTAAGATGTTGGTCTTGCACTGAATTTTACCTCCGACACTGATATTCGCAGTAGGCATGCTATCAGGCGGTACGGTTTTGATATTGCTATCCATATAAATATCACTAGGGAAAAGTTGAAAATCTTACTTTTATCTCAATAAATCAACTGTTTTGTATAACCGTTATATTGTTTTAATTTTAGTGATGAGTTTTCTTAATATTGCTACTCAATTAGCTGGCGTATATAAGAAACATTTAGGGTAGAATTTTGAATATCAGTGGTCCCTTCACGATGCCAATGTCATTTGCGCACTGACATTGAGGCGAATGATATTGATATTCTAACTGTCTGAACTGATACTGACATCAGGTGGCTAGTGAAATTCAGCATTTTGTAGGTATTGATATTGATATTTTGCAGCACTGGGCAGGAATTTATCCGATGCCTTTCAATCTTACAAAGGAAACACACATTTTGTTCCCTTGATGGAATGTGTTCCCCAATGAAATAACCGTATACATTTTTTTTTGCCGAAAACAGTCAACATTACCCTATCAGTCAACAGCCGACATTTACCGTATCACCGGTCTTGGCATACAATACATTAATTCAAAAACAGTACGGGCATAGAGGTTCAAGTAACAACTCTGGTTGAGAGCAAGTGTTAAATTCCAGTTTGGGGGACGTCTAATAATAATAATAATAATAATATGAATACGAAGAAGATGTTGATGAACCCCCTTCAGACAAAAGTTTCCTCCCAAACTAATCATACATGGTAGGAAACTTTTGTATGATGTCATTCCAATATGTTATCGAAAAAAATATTGCCCATTTTCTTATCGGCATTCAACCATCCGAATGTAATATTCATCATCCCGATCGTAAGCGAACGACCAAGTAGATAAAGCGTAATTGAAGACGATAATAAATCTTTCGCTGCCAGCTAGCACCAACGGGCCTGGTGCCGATCTAGAAAACATCTTCCCGGAGCAAACTTGCGGCCCATTCGAGTGCATATTATCGGGCAGGAGATAAGATTAATGTGCAATCAATAATTTGTTTATTACATTGCCCATTTACGGGGAGTTGTTTGCTGTTTGCCTTTTGAGCATCACTTCTTTGGTCAGGTGATTCGCTGGAGTTTCGACAGGTGCGATAAGTTTGATGTTTTATCATCCCCGAGCCTTTGCTGAGATGTATTAGGAATTCTTGTTTGATTTATTAATTAGGCAGTCAACGATGATTTATGGACCTGCAAGGATGATTATACCGATGGAAAAATTGATGTGCTATTTATTCAATTTCCTCACAAGAACAGATACTTAACTAGAGCTGCAATAAGCAATCCCATCGAAAGATGAACTCCAACCGCCGCACTGATTCCACCGATCACGATGGATTCGTAGGGGCCCAGTGTCACCGCGGTGGTGTTGACGCTATGACCGACCATGTGACGGGACTCGGTGCCAACCAATCTGACCGTAGCACTGTCACCCACAAACTGGTACAGTTCCTTCACATCCACCGTATGAGTGTTTCCTTGGAAGTTGACCAGCACTACATAGTAGGGATCCTTTTCGCGGTTTTCATTTTCCCGAAGGAATCGAACGAAGGCAAACACATCGTCGTTGAAGGCGCGAGATCGGAAGTCTCCATGAGTCAAAATGCGTTCCTTGCGTAGCTGCAAGCAATCGACGTAGAATTGGTAGGTACTGTAGTCGGCTTCTTTTTGCTTCAGCAGATTGGTCTGCCTGTAGAGTGGATTCATTGGAAGCCATGTTTTGTTAGACTTTGAGAATCCAGCGTTGAAAGTATCATCCCACTGGAACGGAGTTCGCTGAGGATCTCGTGATGCCCATTTGTAGCCTTCCTCCCCCAAGTTACATCCCTGGGGATCCAAGCTGTCTTCGTAGGACATATCGCGGTAGTCCTCCATACCGATTTCCTCCCCATTGTACACGACCGCTACTCCAGGAAGCACCATCAGAATCAATGCCATTCCATCGATCCGTTCCCGACCGTAGCGACTAGCAATACGAGGCTTATCATGGTTACCCAGCACCCAGTTGGTGACCTTACCACGAGGCATGTTGTCCAACCATCGATCAATCACATATTTGAAATGGTGAGCATTGGAGCCATCGTTCAAGTCTTCAATCATTGCGAAGTTAAACGGGAAATGAGCCCGCTGCTGAGTACCATCATCCGATTCGTAAAACTTCATCGTCATAGATAAATTGGCGTACGCTTCAGTCATCATAATGCTGTAATGGATCACAATATGTAATTTCTCAGAAAGTGCCTTCTAATGACCATTCCCATTTACTTACATTGTCTCGGAATCGTTTTCCGTCACGAAATCATCGATAACCTTACGCCAGCGAGCGATCACTTCGTATGTCTCCGGGAGATCTTTCGTGTAGATGTGATGTGTGTAACCGTAGCTGTTGGGATCTCTCGGATCGTTGATCGGTTCATCGCGAAGATCTTCCACTTCGAACATATGGTTGATGGCATCGATTCGAAATCCGGAAGCTCCCTTCCGCATCCAGTAGCGCAGAACTTCATCAAACTCCTCTATCACCGCTTCGTTGCGGTAGTTCAAATCCGGTTGACCTACAGCAAACTGATGTAAATAGTACTGCTGACGCTTCTCGCTCCACTCCCAAGCCGACCCATAGAAGACGGATTGCTGTGGATGATTCAATACAACTCACTTTTTTATTAATTACCATTCGAAGCTTTCACCACGAATAAATCACATACCCAATTGTTTGGAACTGTTCGATTTCCGGCACCATCTAGCTTGCCATCAACCCACACGTAGTAATCCGTATAGGGATCAATTTTATCCTCAGACATCTTGAACCACTCGTGCTCCTTGCTCGAATGATTGGGCACAAAATCCAAGACGATCCTGATTCCAAGTTTCTTTGCTTCGACAAACAGTTCTTCCAGGTGCTCGTTCGTGCCGAACAGTGGATCCACCGAGATGAAATCACTCACATCGTATCCAAAGTCCTCTTGGGGAGATTTGAAAATGGGACTGAGCCAAGTTGCCTCGAACCCGGTATCCTTCAGATGTTGCAACTTAGCAGTAATTCCCTTAACGTCACCGGTGCCATCATCGTTGGAGTCGAAGAACGATCGCGGATAGATCTGATAAAAGACGGCCGTTTCCCACCAATCCTTCTGATCGGTGACTGGCTGCTGAGCTGCTACGAAGAGGATGGCCGTCGTCGTCGTCGCCACCAGCAGCGACAATGACACCTTAAGACTAATCATTGCAATTGTTCGATTGGACTGATAATTGGCACGCCGTCGTGAGCTCTATATATAGACTGACAACCCCGGCGCTTGTTACGGCAATCAGAGAGATAGAGGGTCGTTGAATGTGTGTTGGATGAAGATTGGTATTCAACGGTTGAATAAAACAAGTAACGGGGATATTATGCAAAGCAATACAGTTTGCTGAGAAGATTTTTCTCCCTCATAGATTTAATAAGGATCGCAAGTTTAAATTTAAGCGTTTCAAGACAGCGCATTTTCTATGTATTTGTAACAATGCATACATTATCTGCATTCAGAACTGTGAGTTGACTGAATATAACTCTAGCAGATCGTGATAAAATTTTGACACTTTTATCAATTGATAGCTTATCTGACCGAATCATGCTGAATGTTAATCAGGCTCGAAATGGATCGTTTGAATTGCAGTAATCAATTTAATAAGGGCTATAAAGATTAGATTCGTATAGGTCACGTTTCGTTGCGTAAATATTCAATTGAATTGAACAATAATTATATTATCATTAAGATAGTGGAGTAAATTTCGTCTGTTGAGGTTCAAACTAAGTTGGAATTAAAACGGCACGGTTGTGAGCCATCCCAACGTTTCAGCTTTTGTTGCTGTGATCGTCTTGGGAAATGAATTCCAAACATTCATTCATATCGAATAAAGCAACCAGTTTTCCGAAATTTCAAACGTTCAATAGATGGTATTAGTTAGTTATACAGCGATATATATAAACCTAACGGTTTTATAAACCTTACGAAGAAGTCGCATAAGGGATCCACTGAACTACGAGCGATCCAAGACTTTTAATAGGCACTCAGAAGATCTGGTGGAGTGTTGTCCAAGATGCCTCTTGATCCAAATGTTCTGGTTGATTTGGAACCCCCTCGGATCCTTCTTGTCAAAAGCGGTCCTCTCAAAGCAGCTTTTGTTCGGTAAGCAACTGATCTCGAATATCATACAGAGCAAACGTTTCGCTATACCACAGGTGCGGAGAACAACATGTCGTTCGGATCTACCCTTTTCAAAGGAGTGTCTCTTAACAGAACCGTACTCAAGATATGTTTTAGGTGGCAAACTCTAATTTTTGAGTCTCCGTCCTGGTTCCATTTTTACGATGTCCTCAACATATTCCATAAAGGTAGCGGAAAAAAAAAAAGATAGAGGAAATGGCTCTAATGTTGGCATATGGATCTAAGATTGGGCCCATCGCAAAAAATCTGCTGTTTATCAATTTTATCTAGACAAACGCGTCATTGGGACGGTACTAATGGATATTTTTGGTCGCTATTGAAAATATAGTCGATTGCTAAATTTATGTATGAGCCCAAATTAGGGGCATTTAGGCCGACATTACATCCATTTCCCCTATATCGCAACAAATGCTATTTTTCGTGATTATGAAACTATGATGTAGGGGAAATGGCTCTAATGTTGGCCTAAGTGCCCCTAATTTGAATACATAAATAAATTCAGCAATCGACTAAATTTTCAATAGCGACCATGGATATGTACCGTCTCAATGACGCGTTCAGATAGATAAAATTGATAAATAGCAGATTTTTAGCGATGGGTCCAATCTTAGATCCATAGGCCAACATTAGAGCCATTTCCCCTACTATATTTATTCGCAAGAAGCAAGAAAAGGTGGCCAAGTTTATTTATGACACATCAAATAGGGGAATTTACGTATTCTCGGCAACCTAAGCAGCGACCTTCTTTCTATAGCCTTTTTCTCTAAGGAACGCACACATATGCAGTATTGGTTTGTTTACAATCTTTTGCTGCCAGCTGCTCTAACAATTTCAGTCGAAAGAATTGTCAAAAACTGTTTTGAAACGCTTTTACAAGCTCCAATCTTCTCTAGGGAGAGCGAGTATTGTCGGCAACCAGTTTTTCTTCGGCACCCGTTCCATTTGAACTGCATGTAAATCTGCTGTTCTATTATCGGCAACTCGAAATCAGCTACAATTTGTAGTGCGCGTTTCATTTCAAGAAAACCTTGCTAGATTGCTTTTTCTCAGTGGTAAAAATATAGTCAAATTGAAGCTGAAGGCATAAATAGTCAAGTCGACGATGACAGGAGCACATATCGTGGTAGGGGTAAACAATAGTTGAAATTTCCAAACCTACGACTGGATACCTTCCTTCAAATAACAACTGAAGTGCGGTAAAAATCGGTAGAACTGTTTCAAACACACAGTTGGTACTTGAGCGCGTCGGTTTTCATCTCTTTTTGCCAGTGGTGGCGGGGGGGGGGGGACACACTCCTCACCATCCCTTTCCAAAGGGGGAGTTTGGTGAAGAGAGATAAAAAAACCGATTTGTACCTTCCTTAAAAGTTGTTCTAGCTCGCTATTCTAATATCTATATGCAATCTTCACACTGCCGTACTCTAACGAAACTATCAACTCTATGCTTTCATCTACTCCATCTATCGTATAAATATTACCACTACAGTCTGTTATTTGAAATTAGCATCTTCAACTATAAATAATCGTTTGCATGCATTCAGCGAAGTGTTTTCGTAAGAAAATCCAGTGAAAATAGTGTTTCAATTTGGGTTGCCGAAAATAGTCTGGCATACCGAAGCCGTCATTTCCCTTATGTCATGTTTGCGATTTAATGATCATTGATTCGCTCAGAAAGCTAAATTGACGGGTTTTATGTGTCACACACAACTTTTCCTCCATTTGCAAGGTGCAAATAAAAATTATGATTAATTATCAATCAATTCCGAAAAAAATGCATTTTAGCTGTAATTTGAATTTGCAATCAGATCTTTTTTTTTTCTTAAATGGAGTAAGAGTTTGTTTGACCGACGATCTGCCGAGACAGCTCATGGAAGCTACATTAAAATTCAAATCCCTGTTCATCAAACTTTCCTAACATACTATTTTTCGGATATTCAAACTTTTCGATTGCTTATGCTGACTTGGGGACTCGAACCACAAACTTTGCGATTATCAGACCTGTGCTTTCTACACTGCTCTCTATACGCTTCAAGATATGGATAGACTAAAAGCAAACAAGAAGTGCTCATTTTCCCGAAATGAAAAGCTCAAAGAGATTCTGCAGTTACTCGGATTAGGAAGTATCCATGTCAGGTATTCGTTCGAAAAATCACGCATTGACATTTTCAAACAAGCCGCCCTTGAGATCATAATTGGACGATGAGATTCATTATTAAGACTCTGAGACTCCTGTGGGGCAAGATCTTTTAATATGTTTTGCAGATGGTTCCAATGTACAGAAATTAAAAATATTTACTGTTTTTACTGTTCGTGGAACCGAAAAAAAAAATGTTATTGGAAACTGGATGTAGTAAGTAAATCACAACGCGGTGAGTGGAGAGGCCTCCTCCTTCAGGCCGATTGCGCTCACTTGCTGCGCGGCAAAAGTGATGGAGAGAATGGTAAATCGTCAACTTAGGTAGTTCCTGGAGTCTAACAGTCTCCTTGACGAACGGCAGCATGCATTCCGGCAAGGACATGGCTCCTTCACTTACTTTGCAGCCCTCGGGAATGTACTCAAGGAAGCCCAGGACAACGGTCACCATGCGGAGTTAGTATCCCTTGATATTTCAAAGGCGTTCAACAGGACGTGGACGCCTGGCGTCATCAGGGAGCTCATCGACTGGGGCCTGAAAGGCCACATCACGCACTTTGTATGGAATTTCCTCCTTGGTCGTACCTTCCAGGTTACTGTCGGGAACACTCGATCGGATCAGTTCCCCGAGGAAACTGGAGTGCCCCAGGGTTCCGTCATAGCGGTAACGCTATTCCTGGTGGCAATGAACGGGGTGTTCAGCCGACTGCCCAAGAACGTGCACGTAATCGTCTATGCCGATGACATACTCATCGTCGTAACGGGACGAACGACTAAACGGACCAGGAATATTGCCCAAGCAGCTGTCTCCGCCGTCAGCAGGTGGACGCTTTCTGTTGGTTTCCAGCTCTCCGCTCCAAAGAGTGTTGGGTGCCATATCTGCCACTCGGGCCATCTGGTTCGGGGACCACCGATCACCATCCAGGACCATCCAATTCCGCTTAAGAAAACAGTACGTGTTCTGGGGGTAGTTCTGGATCGGACTCTAAGTTTCGACCAGCACTTCAGAACGGTGAAAGAAAACTGTCGTAGCCGCATCAACATCGTCAGGACAATCTCCCGCCCGCACCGCTCCAGTAACCGCGAGATCCGCCTTCGTGTCGCCCGGGCTGTTATCGACAGTCGACTTTTCTACGGCATTGAAATTACCTGCTTAGCCACCGAGAAGCTGAACCGCATCCTCGCTCCGGTATACAATACCTACGTACGCATCGCATCCGGCCTTCTACCTTCCACGCCTGCAGACGCTGCTTGTGCGGAAATCGGAGTTCTCCCTTTCCGCTATCGATCTGCTGCAGCTACTGCTACGAAAGCCGCTGCCCTCGCTGCTAAGACATCCGGGAATGATAGGGTCTTTCTCCTCAACGAGGGGAACAGAGCCTTCCGCACTGCAGCCAACGCCAAGTTATCAAAATAGATAAGCGTATTAAGAGAGGATTCCAAGCCGAAGATAACTCTGTAGCGTTGAGGGGTTCTGTTGCAGAACCTCTTGGGTCGGTCTATCCGGGGCACGTTCATCGCTTTACGGACGGATCGCGATCACGGGCTGGAGTGGGACTCGTAGTGGTAGGACCAAACTCCGCAACAAGTCAAAGTCTACCGGAGGAGTGTTCCGTTTTTTTTTTTCGCAGAAGCCGCTGCTATTCTTGATGCAGCCATCATTCCTGCAGATCAACCGATCCTTGTGCTAACGGACTCACACAGCGTCATCCAGGCACTGGAATCCGAAGCCCCGAGCCACCCCTGGATACAAGCCATTACACGATATGCCCCAACCTCAACCGTTTTTACGTGGATTCCCGGGCACTGCGGTGTTCCTGGAAATGAGGCTGCGGACAGGCTGGCGGGATCCGGTCCATCTGGTCCCCGCTTCACCAGGAACGTACCACTCCTAGACGTCAAGCGTTGGATC